AATGCCGCGTTCCTAAGTTTACAGACTACGATGGACAAGTGCATCCAGGAGAACGGTGGAAATAACTTCAAGCCTGTTCACATGGGGAAAGCTCACCTGGAGAAGGAGGGAAGACTTCCCCTGAGTATCCAGTGCTCCAGCAGAGCTGCTGAGGTCCTGTCTCTTTCGTAGCGATTTGAAACCATAGTGGAAACAAGTATAATTTTGGTGTAAAACCGATCCGTGTAAGTTTTTAGGGACGGAGGTAGTAGCTCCATAGGATGCAGACGATATGCCCAGCTAAAGTACATGCGTTAGTACATTTTATGATTGCATTTTCTTATTAAAGACTGGCTTTTCAAAATTATTATTATTGTTTGTTCCCTGCTCAAAAAATGGGCTCCTGATTCTATTATTCCACGAAAACTGTCCCGATCAAAGCCACAGACATAACCAGCATAAAAGTCGAGAACCCAATGAACGTTATCACAGCGAGAATGTCAATTCCATCCTCAGGATGCTTCTTAACAAACGATTGCATGCTTTCGACTTGTTTCGCAGATAGATACGAGGGGGTGGTACCGACAAGGGGCGCAATGTTGCGAAGATCTGGATCCTTTTCTGCCAGTCTCTTCATTTTCTTGATGTCAGCTTCGGATCGTGAACCGGTCTTCACTTTAGGAAGATTTATTACCTTTCCTGATCGAGTTTTCGCTCGAGTGAGATCAAGTTTTTGGCCGGCAGGAACCTGTAACTTGCTGAAAGCATGCTGCGTTTTCAAAGGCTTTATGTGGGGTATCCTTGGCGATTTCTTGAAAAGCGTACTCAGCTTGGAGAGTGATAAGCCTCTTTCTTCTTCACCACCCACGAGATTCTCCGCTCCCGCGGGTTTATTACTGCGGAGGGTTGTTCTCTTCTTCAACTGTCGCTCGGCTGTCGGAAGATTACCATCATCGGCACTCGCAAACTCGCAGACAAGTACAGCGATTATAGACACAAGAGACAGAATAAAAAAAAACTGGCGCATCTCCAACAAAGACGTCTTTCGAACGGAGCTTCTGCACTTAAAGCTAGAAAGTCGAATAGTGGGATATCCGGTGGAGCACCGAACGAAAGAGATCGAGCGTAATTTACGCCGTAAGCGTAAAGGGCTCCAATGCGATGAGGCGGCATCAAAGCTAAAGAACTTGTTCACAATACCGCAATCTAATATGACGAACAGATGTGCGTAACTCAGTTGAAAAAGGTGTTTGTTCGCCTTCACACTTGAAGTCTCAAGATAATTACATTTTATTGATATTTTATGGAGACAGTTCGCATAATCTTGGCAGATAACCAAGCGTTAGGCGAGGCGTGCGTGCTGCTTTCTGCATTCGCATCAGCAGGATCCAGCGCTGGATCTATAGGTAGTGTTGACTCAGACTGAGACTACGCTTCAGTCGCCTTCGCTAGACGGTGGAAAAGCGGGACGAATCCTTTACGCATAGTTTCCAGCGTGTTGATAGCCGCAGCCACATTCGCGTTCTCAGAATTGATCCACGCGCGTAAATACCCAACCAATGGACTCGTGAATCTGTCGGAGTTGGCAGCCACGTCTTTCTTCAAGACGAGATGCTTGAGTGCATGAGTCGCTTGTTCCTTTTGCTCCTCTGTCCCTTTCTCCATCAGCTCAGCGAGTGCTTCGATCG